AGTTTTAATTAAGAAAGGACTTGTATCGCTGAAGTTTCTCGGAAAGAATTTCTATGGGAAATTAACAAACGAGCAGATACGCAACAGTGCCAAACATTTATATACACAAGTTTGCTCTAAAGTAGATGTTTGAAGATGTTTAAGCAAACTTGTGTACAAGAATTAACTTTTGCGTTAAATGTTATAGTCCTTACTTACCACTGAAACTATTTGAAACATCTAAAAAAATTCCACTTTAACTGTAAGTTGTTTGAGCCTTAAATTAGTTAACTGTGGAAATTTGAGCAGAAAATTTTATAAATATTTCATTCAACTATTATAAAAACCTGATACAATCACTTAAACTTGTAATAATCAGTGAAAATTGACTTGTCCATAATCCCAAACACACACCAACATACTGAATCCAATATGAGGGCTAACTTGCCATCTAACTAGCATGTCCTCTTCATAAATCTATGGGAAATTGTTGTGCAACTTGGCTCATTTTAACCAATCCTTACGACAGGTATTAATCCCTGAATTCACCATTTTACAACTATAGGAATATTTATATGTTATACATAGAACTCAAATTACCTACTTCAGTAATTACATCTCATATCTAACAAAAAAGCTCGTATACAATCTGTCCTAGTACTTATTTTACGTATTTCATTTACTAATTTTCATCAAATCAGAAAAGACCGAGTTTGTACTGATACTCTGTAACAAAATTCCCAGTGTTTTGAGGTCAGTGTCCTACTGTGCAAGCATGGCTATGTCAAGCAAACAGTTTTACACCTAGTTCATACCATAACAGAAAATAAAATCTTTACGCCTACTTTTTAAAAAGACAACAAATACATGAAATGCTAGTGTATCAGTAAGATAAATATGGTAGATAATGACATAAATATGGGAATTATAGACTATGGTAATCACCGAAGTCTAAGAAACTTACAGAATTTCCAACAGTTTTCTGCTGCATTCTGAATGTTTCTTCTCTCACCTTAGCTAGAGGTTCACGAACACTGATCATATTATATGGTGTGTCCCGAATCTCTGAAATATAAATTTAACTTCAATGAATATAATCAAGCTTAAAATCTACTTGTTGATCACTCGATACTTCTGAAACCAACTTTATTGGAACAGGCCGACAAATGGTGGTGGTGGTGGGTAACTGAAACCTGGTGATGCCGTAAACCACCTTTAGGTTATATCTTCATTTAATCATAAAAAAAACAACATAGTTTTTGGTTTTTCTTTGCATGTAGACATTTCATACATTAAGAATGATTGAAATAAAAACTTAAGTAACAGTTAATATATATTTGTTGTTACTTTATTGATGTTTTTACTGCGAGATAAAAAAAGGCTGCTGCTATGATTTTGTCTGGTTTATGAGCTCGTTGTTGTCCTAATTTAGGATCTTCTTTTAAACAAGTTCTTTAAAATGTTAAAAGAGAGAGAGAGAAAGGGGGCTCG